GGACATGATGCGGGCTGCGGGCGGAGAGCAAGAGGATGCAAAAGAAACCCTGGCTGGGATGCAGGGAGGGAGAGGTGGCACTCCAGGAGCCTGCACCCCAAATCCTTTTGCCTTGGCAGGGATGTGGGGCAACCCGGCCAGCTCCGAGCCCTGTGGGAGGCGAGGGGGAGGACTTCCCCTCCAGGCGGGAGCCGCACTGTGTCCCAAGGGCAGCCGGGGAGGAAGGGTGGGAGCTCCAGAGGCCGTGGGATGTGGGTTTCTCATCAGCAGCGTGGCTGAGGGCTCCTGCCTGCCATGCCGCAGTGGCCAAAGAGCTGGGCTGTGGCTGTAAAAATGCTTTGGGGAGGAAGGGAAAGACGGGCTCGGAGCCAAATGATGCCGATGCCGCGGGCGGGTATGGGTACTTCCACAGCCGGCCATCCTGCGGGGCTGCCTCTGACCCCGCCGCGTGGGAATGAGCTTGCTCCGGTCATCGTCCCGCTCCAGCTCCCTGCGAGAAGGTGATGGTGGGGAAAGGCGCTGGGGGGAGTCGGCAGCAGGTGGATGGGTACGGGGCTATGCCAGCACTGGGGGCCCAGCTGAAAGATCAGCCAAACTACTCCTGAAACAGAGGAAAGGGCCAGCAGCTGGGGTGCCCAGCTCCCGTGAGAAATCTGACGCCTGCTGTGACACCTGCATGGCCATCTCGGCGCTCAGGCAGCTGGCCACCGCTTTCCATCGAGCTTCTGCAGATAAAAGTCATTTTGATCAAGGAGAAAATGATATATTTCCCTTTGGTCAAAATATATTATCTTCTGATCCTTCCCCCAAGTAAAATCCAGAAGTGTCACGTAATTCCTTACTTAATATTTAGGTTTTTAGGCTGGGGCAGGCCAGGTGCTCCAGAGGAAGGAATGGGCTGCGGGCAGGCACCACAGAACTGCTGTGGGATAGTTTGAGCCTGGAGCGGCTCTGGCTGCTCCTCCCCATGTTTGCATTGCGCTCGCTGCCGTCCCCCCGTGTGTGGTGCAGGAGTGGGATGGGACGGGCACCGGCAGAGAGCGACAGGGACCACCTGCCTTACAGGGAACAGGCAACGAGGTGTCTCCAAGC